TCAAACTAAGAAAACACCTCGCCCGACAAATTTTCGTCGGCACAAGTGGCAAATGTTTGTTGGATTAGACTTCTCCCGACAAATGTAACCTTTGCTGATGAAATATCGTCGAGAGAGGTTTTTTTTTTTTAATTTTAAAATTTTAAAATTAGTTTCTTCACTTTTGTTTTTTGGCCAACTTCTTTAATTTAATATATGTGATTAAGTAATATCTAGTCTTTTTGAATCACTTTAATTAGTAATTACGCATTAATTATTATTTCTTTATTGAATATTTAAATATGTTACTGATTTAATTCTTCTGTGCAAAAACGAAAAAATAAATTACTCATTTTCGTTTGGGTGTCTTAATTAAATCTTCCCAAAGCCCAAGATTGAGAGCGAAACCTAAATCGTAAAGCCCTGGGTCGAGTTACGTGATTATCCAACCCTAATCGAGTCCTAAGTGCCCTACAATAGGTTTACAGTTAGGGTTCGAGGCTTGTGAACAGTTTTGGAACAAGTTCAAAAGCTATGTTTTTTGTTTTGAGTCTTGGATTTTTGGTCTGGAGACTAAAATTCCATTTTTAGAATAACAAAATAATTTTATAGATTTTTTAAATAAATAAAACTATTTTTAAAATAATTTTACATTCCACAAAATTCTTTAAGATCATTAAATATAATTAATTAATTTTTATGAAATTAATTCAAATATTTAAATACTAATTCTTCACTAAATAAATAAAAGTAATTAAAACATAATATATTCAACGGCTATACCTTTAAAATATTCTATTTACTATTCTATACCTTTAAATAGTATAGCCGCGCGAAAAAAAAAAAAAAAAAAAAAAGAAGGTTGCTAATATGGCCGAAGGTGTTGTTTCAATTGTGCTCGAAGGGCTCAGCAAGCTTATCATTCTGTTTGGGCCTGGTTGAAATTTGACCGAGTCAGGTTCGAGATCCGACAATTAAATTAACATTGAGCCCAATCAGTGGGCCTAATCAATAAGGTCGGATAGAAGCCCAAAATCATAAAGGTGGCCGAATATCTACATGTTGCAGAATATCTACATGTGGCTGCATACATTAATCTGGCCGAGCATATCAATACGGCCGAGAGCATAAAAGTGGTCGAAAGCCTATATGCGGCCGAAAGTGTAGATACGGTCGAATAACTAAAAGCAGCCGAATACATGAAATCAGCCAATGTTTAAATAAGGAGAGAGATAATCCGTAGGATGATTTTCTCATAGGTTACAATTCAAATATGGAAGGAATTATGCCAGCTTGATGGTCAACTGAAGTTATTGCTGGGAGAGCTCAAGATGGAAGGAAAATCAAATCAAATGTTATTATTCACATTAAATCACACGCATGAGACAAGGGATTGAAGATATTCTGGAGCATTTATGATTGATTTGAAGGCCAATTGACGACTGACCAAATTGAGATGCGCCGAAGCCCCTATAAATACCAAGCTTATAGAAGAGAGAAAGGACCCCCGACACAACACACAACTTGTCATTTTACATTCTCTTCAATTTCTATCATAGGAGTAGCATAATGTAGCCATAGCCTAGTTCTTATTTTTTCCGCTCTAGTTTCCGTAGATTTCAATTATGCCTTTACATTCTTGTTCTTGTTTTTCAATTCTATTTTAATTACAATAATTTCAATTCATGTTATCTTTACTGTTCTTCGTAATCTAGTTTACTTTCCGCCCTTTACTTTACGCACTCGCATTTCAATTATTTAATTTATGCAATTTGCTTTACGCACTCGTATTTTAATTATTTAATTTATGCAATTTACATTACGCAATCGTCTTTACATTCTTTATTTTACGCACTTTAAATTACGCACTCGTCTTTAAATTATTTATTTTACGCACTTTACTTTCCGCACTTGTCTTTTAATTATATTTAAATTCAAGCACCTTTTACTTTACGCACGTGTTCTTCGTTTCATTACATTTCACCTTCAATCTTCATCTCCACCCACTCCACATCATTTGGTTGCTCACATAAAGCCTTGACTCCGAGGTAGTGAAAGAACCTAGGCCGTGAGGAGGTTCCTTGCTCGGCCGAACAATCGTTTGATTAAAGTCAGATCTCGGACGCAACACATCCATCTACTCACATTCCATTCAAGCCCAAATTCGGGGCTTAGTGGTGGGACGCCCCGCACTCAAAAAAGAAGAAGGACCAAAGACTCCTTCAATCGGCCTACCCGGCCGAAAAGAGGGAAACAGGGATGAAGGAGGAACAATTTTTCTTTATTTTATGAGGTTGCTGCGGTGGTGGATTGAGGTTGTTGTGATGGTGGGGGGTTTGGATCGATTGCAGGAGCTTGGGTACTTGGTGGTTGTGGATGGCGCTTGGATGGTCGGTGGTTGCAAGCACTTGGGTCGGGACTATGTTGTCCCCCCATTCCACACGGGACTCACTAAGAACACCTAAGAAGGTGTTTTTGGTGGGGCCAGTATTAACAGTCCCACTTAAAGCTAGAACTAAGTGTAAACAAACATGGGATAAAAATGTGTCTAGTCCAATCCAAGCCAAGAAGGTGTAACAAACGAGCCCTGAGTGGTACAGAGCAGCCATTTTCTGTGTGCTTCTTCGATAAAGCGAATTGGTCTGCTTTTTTTGTCACAATAGATAACATTGCTAACGTTTGCAAATCTTATAGTACATACGTTTTTTCTAATTATTACAAATATATTGACTTTCCTGGGCAATAAATACGTTTTATTAGCACAATGCATGCCCAAAGGCATAAACAAATAAATATCTTGACGACAAATTTTTTTCATTATTTTATTGCAAAAAAAAAAACAAAAAAACAAATTCAAGGGCTGACGATCATCCCAAAACTCAGGCTAGACCTCAGGCTCGCCTTGCCCTCAAGCCAGCCCAATCTCGTGGCCCCCACCTCCTGCCCGGGCCAGCCCTTGCTGCTGGAACTGCTCTTAAATGACTTCACCATCAGTATCAATGCCAGGATACTACAACAAAGAAATGAAACGCGGCAGACCAAAGGCAATAGTGAAGGAAAAAAAAAAAGTGGGAGAGATGCGCAAGCTACTGTCTCCACCATGGGCGTGGAGTGCGATGCAAAAGATAAGATATTTCTTCCTTTTAATGATTTCATTATAAAATATTTATATTGTCATGCCAAATATGCAATCAGGTCAAAAAGTTTATAAAGTGGTGTTTTCGATAGTATCCATCACGTGAAGTGATAATTACACCAAACTCTACTGTGGCCAACTGCCCAGGGCGCCCCTCAATCTCCTGCGGCCACTGGCCAAACCACTTGTCCCAATCGACTCGGGGACGTTTGAAAAGCACAACGACAAATTGTTTTGACGAGACCAGCACGACCGGCTGGTCCTCTGTTGAGAAGGAAGGTCACCCCATGTGAAAGGGAGAAGCAACGGCTACAATTACAAAGCAAGCCATCAATAAAAAAGAAAAAAAAAAACGCATCCAATGCAAATATAAAAATATAAAAAATCATGCGAATGTCAGACTTCATAACAAAATAAATAAATAAATAACATGCCAAGCAAAATTACTTCTCTCTCTCTCATCTGACAACTTTCAAATGCATGTACTGACCTAATATGAAAATACTTCAAGGTTTTCAACTTTAAGCATCTTTGATTGGTTATTATATATTAAAGGTTAACTGACGTGCTATGCATACATTAGCCACTGCATCATATCTGATTTAATACCCCTTCACCATTAATTTATGCTATTAACTAGAAAAAAAGTAGACGAAGACCTATGTATTGTGGCACTTTAGACGACGGTGATTTATCATTATCTGTTAACTATTTAGACAATGGTTTTACAAGATCACTATTGTCTATTTATCAATTCAGACGACAATTAATCACCGTTCCCGATTTGTTATTTTTTATAGTCTTAATGGTAATTAGATGATAGTATAATTTCGTTACCGTCACCTAAGTGGTGATATTTTGTAATGGTATTTGTAGGTTTATATCCTCCTTGTTTTTTTTGGGTTGTTTCATTTGCAATTAATAGAAAATTTCAATTCTCAAAATATGTTTCAAAATATTTCAATTAAAACATGTAATCAAATGTGATCTCATACGACGAAATATGGTCCAAAATACAAAAGAATTCATCACAAGCATCTGTTGAGCATAAATTTTTGTCCTCAAGTTAACCAAAATACGAAAGAATTCTTCAAAGTTACCCATAAAACTCACTTCTAAGGTCTATGTATAACCCCCTTAGAAATTCTGCTCCTTCACCACACATTTCATCAATCTCTTTTTGCGTGTAACTTTGATCAATTATCTTCTCCCACTGATACATAATAAATAAAAAAGGAAAATTACTCAATAAGTTTAAGTTCAACATCATGGTAGCCCGAATTTGATCAATTATCTTCTCCCACTGATACATAATAAATAAAAAAGGAAAATTACTCAATAAGTTTAAGTTCAACATCATGGTAACCCGAATTTGATCAATTATCTTCTCAAGTCCTTCGTATGACTCATTAAAAACTTAACCCCTCTTTTTAGTCCATCAAAGAGAATAGTCTAAAGAATCATGGGGGATATCTTCAAAAGATGCTATTCTTTTTACTCCTGTGACTATTCTTAGCCACAGAAGTTTGGAAACTTTGTCCCCCCAAGAGAATAATCACTGGCAATAGGGGCTTTCTTCATTACGGATTACAATCACAAAAAGCTTTCATACAGCCTCACCTTTTGAAATCTGTTTAAGAGCCGTAGATTCACAAAGAGATCAACGGGTCTGGTCAACTTGAGGACCGATGAATTGTCGTTCTTGTCTTGTCATCCTCCAGTCTCCAACAGTCCAAACCAGTGTATTATTCCTTAGGCCATGTGCGTCCACCCACCAACCCAATTTGAATTAATTAATTAATGGTGATGACCCATTTCCCATTTGAGGGCAAAGAAGAGTTAATAGTCCTTGAAAGTGAAAGAGATTTTTAAAAAGTTAATATTACAGGCTAATTAGAAGTTAATTATGATCACTTAGGCTAACAAACTCAAACACTCACTCACAGCCACCCAACGGAACTTAGATAAATACATAAAAAGCTTTCATACTTCCTTACCTGTATTTCCAAGTTACTTTCATCCAATTCCCTTGCAAAGAAAAGAAGAGAAAAATGGTTGGAGCTTTGATCGGAGAGGCCTTTATTTCTGCTTCCATCCAGGTGATTTGTGACAGAATTGCTTCACCCGAGTTCATCGACTTATTTCGGCACAAGAAACTCGATCAACCTCTCCTCATGAAACTGAAGAGGACCCTGTTGACCTTGAACGCAGTGCTGGATGATGCAGAGGAGAAGCAAATTGAGAAACCAGCTGTGAGAGAGTGGCTTGACGACCTTAAACATGCGGTCTTTGATGCTGAGGACTTGCTGGATGAGATCAACTATGAAGCATTGCGATGCAAGCTCGAAGGTGAAGCTCAAAATGCGGACAAATTTACCACCAAGGTGTGGAACTTCCTCCCTACTTCTCGTAATAAGTTTTATCAAAGCATGAATGTTAAGATACAAGAGTTGTTACGAAAACTAGAAGACTTTGTACAACTGAAAGGTGCTCTTGGTTTGACAGAAGTTGTTGGGAGGAAGGTTTCACAAAGAACTCCAACAACTTCCTTGGTTCATGAACCTTTTGTATATGGTAGAGATGAAGTCAAAGAAAATTTATCCAAAGTGTTGTTCTCTGATGATGCAAGCAAGGAGGATGTGTCTGTCATCACCATTGTTGGAATGGGTGGGGTTGGCAAGACAACCCTTGCTCGAATGCTTTACAATGACGATAAGGTGAAAGAGCATTTTACATTTAAAGCTTGGGCTTGTGTTTCAGAAGACTACGATGCTATCAGGGTAACTAAAACTCTTCTTGAGTCAGTCACTTCAAAACCTTGTAATACGACAGATCTCAATTTGCTTCAAGTTGAACTAAGAGAACAACTGAGGGGGAAGAAATTTTTGTTTGTATTGGATGACCTTTGGAATGAGAAATATACTGATTGGAACTGCCTCCAAACTCCTTTTACTTCAGGGGCAAGGGGAAGTAAAGTCATCGTAACAACACGGAACAAAAATGTAGCTTCTTTCATGCAAAATGTTCCCACTCAACCCTTGGAACCATTGTCACATGAACATTGTTGGTTGTTACTTGCAAAACATGCGTTTCGAAATGTAAGCTGTAGTGCATATCCAAGCTTGGAAGAAATCGGCAAGAAAATTGCACGAAAGTGCAATGGGTTGCCTTTAGCTGCACAAACACTTGGCGGTCTGTTACGTTCCAGGCTAGACATTGAGGTATGGAACAGAGTACTAAACAACAGTATTTGGGAGTTACCTTACGAGAAAAGTGACATTCTTCCCGCTCTAGGATTGAGTTATCATTATCTTCCAGCTAAGTTAAAGCGATGCTTTATTTATTGTTCAATTTTGCCAAAAGACTATGAATTCAAGGTAGAAGATGTTGTTTTTCTTTGGATGGGAGAAGGTTTAATTCCCCAATCTGAGAATGGGGAAAGAATGGAAGAGATAGCTAAGGAATATTTTGATGAACTGTTATCCAGATCATTGTTTCAAACGTCGGGGAAATCAAGTTTCGTTATGCATGATCTCATCAATGACTTGGCTGTGTTCATGTCTAAAGGATTTTGTTCCAGGTGGGAAGGGAGGGAATTACATGAAGTAGAAAGAGTTCGCCATTTGTCATATGCTAGGGAATATTTTGATGTTGCTCTTAAATTTGAGCCATTAAAGGGGGCTAAGTGTTTGCGGACCTTCCTACCTACCCCTTTAAATACTTATCAAGAGTATTATCTAAGTAAAAAGTTTGTACAAGATTTGTTGTTGTCACACAGATGTTTACGGGTGTTGTCATTGTCACGTTATAGGAATGTCACTCAGCTACCTGATTCTATTAAAAATCTTATTCACTTGCGCTATTTGGATCTCTCTCGTACTACAATTGAAAGGTTACCTGGTGTAGTTTGCAGTTTGTACAATTTGCAAACGTTACTATTGTCAAATTGTTCATCTCTCATTGAATTACCTGTAGACTTCAGAAAATTGACAAATTTACAAAAATTAATGCTGGGAGGTTGTCGGTCTCTTGCTAAATTGCCTATAGACCTGTGGAAATTAAGTAGTTTGTATCATCTTGATGTGAGTGGAACTAAAATTACAAAGATGCCATCGCAAATGAGTAGACTAAAAAGTTTGAGAACTTTGACTGCTTTTGTTGTGGGGAAATCTACTGGGTCGACCACTGGGGAGTTGGGGGAGCTTCCACATCTTCGAGGAAAACTTTCAATTCTAAATCTGCAAAATGTAGTTGATGCTAAGGATGCCGTGCAGGCCAATTTGAAGAATAAGAAGTATCTGAAGGAGTTAAAGTTCGGATGGGGCGATGAAGACTCGGATGATTCCGAAAAAGTGAGAGATGTACTTGACAAGCTCCAGCCTTCAATTAGTTTGGAGAAACTGACCATCCAATTCTACGGTGGAACCAACTTCCCGAATTGGTTAGGAGACTCATGCTTCTCTAACATACAAGTCATGCGTCTTAGCGATTGTAAATATTGTTGGTCGCTGCCACCAGTTGGGGGGTTACCTGCTCTCAAAGAGCTTTATATAGAAAGGATGAACTTTGTTAAGATAATTAGTGTTGAGTTCTATGGCAGAAATGGAGCGTCTCTAATTCAGCCATTTCAATCACTGGAGAAGCTGGAGTTTCGGGGGATGGCAGAGTGGGAGGAATGGGTACCAAGTGGAAGTGGAGGTCTAGCCTGTCCTCGTCTCCAGGAGCTGATTCTAGAACAGTGTCCGAAGTTGAGAGGAAGCTTGCCTTGTGATCTGCCTTGCTTGAAGAAGCTTAGAGTGGGTGGGTGTGGGGTTTTGCATGATCAAAGGGCCACTGCGACTACTAGTAGTAGTACTAGTCTCAACTACAATTCTCTTGAAGAATTGAATATTAGAGACAAAGCTGGTCTGTTATCATTACTAGAGACAAAGCTCCTGTCCGTACTTGACATTAGTTGTTTTAATGGCATACAGTGCTTGCCCAACATCAATCGTCTTCAAAAATTGATTCTCTTGAATTGTCCAATGCTGTCATCGTTCCCTGAAGATGGCCTACCCACTTCGTTGACATCACTTACAATAGTCGGTTGTAGGATATTAGAATTCCTACCTCAAGAGATGTTGGCCAAATTAACATCGCTCGACTCTTTGAGGATACATAATAGCTGTGATTCAATGAGGTCCTTCCCCTTGGGCATTTTTCCCAAATTGACGACACTTGAAATTGGTTGTTGTGACAATCTGATATCGCTTTGCTTGATTGAAGAAGGAGCGGTTCTCAGTCATCTAAATAGAATGTGGGTCTCTGGTTGTCGAAATCTGGTGTGTTTTCCCCAGGGAGGATTGCCCACTCCTAACCTGACTTGTCTGCAAGTTGATGAGTGTAAGAAGTTGAAGTCATTACCTAAACGCATTCACACCCTCACAGCCCTTGGAAGTTTGCATATACGCCATCTTCCAAATCTGGAGTCAATTGCAGAAGATGGGGGTTTGCCTCCCAACCTCCGATATTTTAGCATTCAGAATTGTGAGAGACTGAGGGCTTCATCTTCATCAGTGGGAGACTACTGTAACTGGGGTTTGCAAGCACTTGTCTCCCTTGAACGTTTTACAATTGGTGGCAGGGGAAGTGATGAAATCATGGAGACGTTGCTCAAGCAACAGCTGCTCCCTACCACTCTTCGCACTCTCTGGATCACTGAACTTTCAACTCTGAAATCTTTGGATGGAAAGGGACTTGCACACCTTACTTTTCTTCGAAGTCTAAATATCGGAGGGTGTGACAATCTCCAATTCCTGCCAGGAGAGACACTTCAACACCTCACTTCTCTTCAAGAGCTATATATTTATGACTGTCCGAGTCTCCAATTCCTGCCAGAAGAGGGTCTGCCGCCATCTCTTTCTTATCTGAGCATCTCCAATTGTTCTGCCCTGGAGAAAAGCTATCAGAATAAGACGGGACGA